GAACTAAAAAGGGAAAATAAATACAGACACAACAGACCTTTTAAAAATAAAAGAATCCTATGAATAGGTGTCCCCAGATTACCCAGTAAATTCAGAGCTAAATCAATCAAAATTTCAGCTGGAATATGGAAGAATAAATATTCATTAATAGGTAAGTACACTTTGGGAAAGAAGGGGACTTGCCAACTCAATATTAAGATACACTACCAAACCATATGGTAATATTAATAAATGCAGTATGATACTGACCCAAGAGGAGACATAATGGAATAAACTAATGGGATAAAATAAAATCTCAGGGACAGACTCAAGTATAAATGGCAATTTGAAAAATTGTACATGTGGTACAAAAAGTCGAAGGGGTGTCTCTTAGTGTGCATCTCTGAGAAGAGATCATTTCATCTCAACTCAGAAAATTCTGACGTAAAAAGTCAATGAGGAAAAGTTTTTGTCCATGTTGTTGAAAAACTGATTCATGACATGAAGAGAGGAAAGAGAGAAAAAACCTCCTGGATCATTACTGTATCCCATCGACAAAGAGATGCAGATAGACTAAAGATCCAAGTATGAAAGATAAAACTAATGATGATGGAAGAAGAGAATATCTTTGTAACTTAGAGATGAGGAAGGACTTCTTAAATAGACACCCCAAATTTTATTATTATTTTTTTAAAGATTTTATTTATTTATTTGACGGAGAGAGACACAGCTAGAGAGGGAACACAAGCAGCGGGAGTGGGAGAGGGAGAGGGAGAAGCAGGCTTCCCGCGGAGCAGGGAGCCCAGTGCGGGGCTCCATCCCAGGACCCTGGGATCATGACCTGAGCCAAAGGCAGATGCCTAACGACTGAACCACCCAGGTGCCCCAACCCAGCCAAATTTTAAAAGATAAATTTTTATTATATCAGAATTCTTTCTTTTTTTTTTTTTCCTCAAGGAAGAACACCAGTTGACAGTTAACTGACAATGATAGATTAGGACAGATAGATCAGTGACTGAGAAAAGCACAGTGCTAATGTCTGCACTATACAAATTATTCCTGCAAGTCAACATGGGGAGAAACAGGAATCCCAATAGAAAAATAGGCAAAGGATATAATGAACTATTCACAGCACGGGAATCTAAGTGCCATTAATGTTTAAAGAGATGCTCAAACCCAGTTGTCATAAGAGAAATGCAATATACAAACAGCAAGGGCATACTTCTTTAAACTGATGAGATTGGCAAAGAATCAGACATTTGGAAAATGCCAGATATTGGGGATCTCCAGCAACAGGAACTATTTGACCTTTTTGGTAGGGGTGTGGACTAGTAGAAGCCATTCATTAGGGCCATCTGACCATAGTTTGTGCAGTTAAGAATGCAAGTTCCCCCCCGCCAAAAAAAGAAAAAAAGAATGCAAGTTCCCTATGATTCATGATCCCATTCTTCTATTCAAGACAAATTCTCACACAGGTCTCTAAGGGGACAAGGATGAAGATGTTTTAACACAGAATTGTTTGGGGTGGGGAGAGTTAGAGACAGACTAGGGGAATGGAGAAATCAAATGGGGTGGATACACACTGCAGAGTACTTTATACCAGTTAGGAAAGCAAAGAACTAGATGTACATTCACAGCATGGTTAGATCCTAAGAATATGGTGAAAGAAAAAGTTAGAAACTATGAAATCTATAGTACATTTACATTCTATAGTAAAACTATATGACAACATCACTCATATCCATGGAAAGTACATACATGCACCAATATTTCCATGCATTTTAAAAATCCAAGGCTGAGTATTAAAAATTTTAGGGATGTCACCTCTGGGAGAAGGGAATGGAGGTAGGGAATGAAGATAAAAGAGAATGAATAAATAAACCAAGAAAGGATCTTGTAGGTTTTGATTATGTGCCATGAAATCATAGATTATGATTAACTCAACCCTCCAGATATGAGGTTATTGCTTGATAACCCTTACTGGTTGGGAAATCTTCAACTTCCAAATCAGTGAAGGTGAGCTCTAAGTGTACCAGCTACCCCACTTGCGACATGGTGTCCCTCTGTGTGGCCATTCACAATACCTCAGTGGTCTGCAGGCTGAATTCTTGGATGCTCCTTCTAGATTTGCCCTGGGGTCCGGTGCAGTTTTCTTAGGAATCAGCACAGCCCTCACTAGTAAGACCAACACATGTATTCCATTCAATTAAACAAGAAGATGGTTTAAACATCCTCTAAAAAATTTCTATCACAAGCAATAGGAGTTTTTTATCTTAGTGCATAGAGAAATTTTCCCTTTTTGCTGGAATAATTTTTTTAATTTAATTTTATTATGTTATGTTAATCACCATACATTACATCATTAATTTTTGATGTGGTGTTCCATGATTCATTGTTTGCATATAACACCCAGTGCTCCATTCAATATGTGCCCTCTTTAATACCTGTCACC